ACAGTTTATATGTCGTAAAGTTGAATTTATTTATGCAGATTAGTAGTGCAGATAGTAATAATAATGATGATAATATTAATATAAAAACGTTAATGATTAATCGATAATTCGATCGTTAATTCTTCCGATGATCAATTAAGAAAATTTCATCGAATGCCCATCCCTAGTTCAAATGCAGTTTTTGTTGTGACACAGTGAGTTCTTGTGGCTAATCACTAAAGAATCAGCTCCAACATTTGTGCTTTTTAGCTTTTCATAAAAAAACGATCAGTCGCAGTGAAGTTTGAACTCGTCCATCTCGCGCTTAAACTGTAATCTGCGACTTTAACAACGACGAAACTGAACCAACTTGACCGTCGCAATAAAATAAAACATCCACTAGACAAATATGTGCATCTTATGTGAAAAACTTCCCGACAGTGCTAAACGTTAAGCGCTAACACAGCCCGGGATAATAGTCACAAATCAATGCAGTGCTCTGATTAGATCTGCCTAATGGGGAAGCCGTTAGCCACATTAGCCGCTAATAGCCGCTAATCGCTTTATAATTGTGACATTATAAAACCGGCGAGAGCGTCAGAGAGAGTCCTCACCTTTTATCGAACCCGACCTGAGAGAGACACGACGAGCAGTGAACGTCGTGGATCTGTATTTAATCTGAATTTAAACTTTAAAGTGTTCACAGGTTAAAGAGAAACGTGTCTACAAACGTCAATAAAGAAGATTCATGTCGAGACTGAAACGTTAATAAATAATGGTGATTAATAAAGTAATAACCGTCCAGTGAGGTTCATTTTTTTTCCGATCAGATTCTTTTTTCGGGACCAAAGTTTAGTTTTCGTACTTGACACAAACGGGTCCAAAACATCATCGAGACAGAAGATAAAAACAAAAAAACAAACAAAACTATAAACTGGGACGAGGGGGCTTTTTTACTCTCACACACCTGGGATTCTGTCCTGAAGAATAACGTGATGCGTGAGCTGCCGTGTCCAACTAATTTCGCTTGCGGATCAATAAAGTTTACAAGTCTAAATCTAAGAAGTCGGACTGTAGATGGCGCTGTCGTCCTGCCTCCACGGGTAAAAAAATACAGCACCAAAACTGGTTTAAATCAGCTGATCCACACGGAGGAAGACCGCCAGTGATACCGTCAGATGTAAAAACAACAAAACTTTGGTCTGAAGAAAGAATATTCTAGAATAAAATCATAATAATAGTAAATATTTTCGAAGCAAACGAAGAAATTCAATCTATACTATATATACCATTAGGGCTGGGTGTCATTAAGAAGTTGCCGATACGATACATGCCCCGTTTTTCCCTGGACATGTCCGTATTTTGCATCTTATCCTGGGCGTCCGGGTTTTGTTTTTGTTTTTTTAAGTGGTGGAAATGTCCGGGTTTTTATTTCGTTTCACTGGGGCCGTTAAACTGAGCGTCTCTCGTAGCGTCTGTGACTCAGAAGGAGCGAGCAAACACAAACAGTCGGTCAGTCTGCAACACGGCGAAGCGCAAATGTGCATTTAACAGTGACTTTGACAAGAAATTCTCCGTTTTCTGTTTCGGTCGGGAAAAGTGGGAGGCCATGTGCACAGGTTGGGAGGTGAGAGTAGCTCAATGTCGAGGCCCCAACTCCCACTCCTGGTAAGGTGTCCGGGTTTTCACAAACGGAAATATGGTCACCCGATACATATCTCAATACAATGAACTTTTGGTTTGATACGATATATTTCAAATCGATTCAATACGGTTCAATAAAAATAAAGACTAAATCATGACTGTGATACTAAGGCTACGTTCAGACTGCAGGGCTTAACACTCAATTCCGATTTTTTTTACAAAATCTGATGTTTTTGCGAGGTCGTTCACATTTCTAATTAAATGTGACTTGTATGTGACTCCAGTGTGAACATTAAACGGCCCAAAAGTGTCCCACATGTGACACTGGAGACACGACGACGTCAACCGCAGCGAGCGTCTCTGTGTTTACAGAAGTTGTCCAAACATGGACGCAGCATCGAGCACCTGGAGATTTTAAAGTTCCTCTCGTACCGGAGCCAGAACATGAACAACTTACTTGTTTGAAGGAGGAGATTGAGAAGGAGAAGGACGAGGTTTTTGGTCGTGGTGTTTTGTGGGGCAGCGGCAGCGACGTCCGTTGAAAGTAACGTGTGGATGTGGAGACGGAGCCAAGAGTGGTGAGTGGAGATGTGCTTTACTTCAGTGACACGGAGTTCATTAACAATTTTCGCTTACTTCAGCGCAGAATAGTGACGTTTGTGTCTTGTTGATAACGTGTAGGTCAGACAAATGTGCTTTGACCGTTCACACTGAAGTCACATGTTAAAGATCAGATATGTATCAGTTTCAGGAGCACATATCCAAGTGTCCTGGGTCACATTTGAAAAAATCGGATCTGTGTTGTTCAGACTGTCATTAAAAGATCAGATACAGGAACATAGGGGCCAAAAAATCTGATTTGGGTCACTGCAGTCTGAACACAGCCTAAAAGTCTTTGCTTCTTTTGGAAAGCAGTGATTAAAATGTTTGTGTTCATATGAAACACAAACATTTTAATCATCAAAACAGTGAAAATGTCAAATGTGTCGCACAAACGAGTTTCCTTCCTCTATACAAACAACAAAATTGTAGCTGTAACAAAATAATTTAGTAAAATATACCAAAAAATACTCTTGGCGATATATCGATACAGCAGCCCATGATACTAATACTGTATCATCACATTAAACCATACGATATATCGATATTTTTATATTTTTGCACACCCTTAGATACTATTAGTCCAGGGGTTTCACTTCGTAGAAACCGTCTAACTTCACAGCATTACGACTCGTTCGCTCGACAGTATGCGGGTGCATTTTTAATTTAACCAATCGCTGCAATTTGGTCGTGACGTATGTAATGCGCCAAATCCTGTAGGAAGAAGGACAATAACGTCTTTCCTCTTGATAAAATTCACCAAACATTCTCTTTGTTCCGGCTTTAAATCCTCGATCTCGGGAATCGTTGACAGCACAGAATGTTTCGGTTCGTCTTTGTTTACTGTTGTGCTGCTCCACAAAATGGACCCAGACAAATGCTTGAGTTTGACGTCATGGCTTCACAGCTCTTCACTGATTAGCCGGTGCACGGTCTACAACTTCGTCAAACTGTCTGGTGTATTCTGATCCCTGACGTAGCCGCTGGAGAGAAATGAAATTGCCTAATACGCTATTCTCCAACAAAGTAAAACTACGTCTTTTTACACTGACTATTCTTCATAAAGTTTCTTCTATAAAGCCGGTCACAGACTGGAGCAGTGGTGATCAGACCATCTGCTCTATGCCCTCGTCATGTGAGATTTCACCATTAGACCCTCTCCTACCGACCACACCAACATGGCCGCCAAGTATCACCCGCGGACCACTTAAATATGGCCGCCAAATCTCGCCCTACAGAGAAGTGTCCAGACCGGAGTCATTAGCCCCACACAGAGACGAGCGATAACAGCAGACACACCTGGAGGGAAGAACGTCCCGGTCTGAAGTCAAGGTTAAAAATTCAATACCATTTTATGAGCTTTTTAAACTATACAATAACGACATGCTGTCTCGTCATTAGTGAGGCTTGGAGTGCTCAGGAAATTACAGAAAATTACTGTTTCATCTGAATACGCCATAGACTGTGTGTATGTATAAATTAACTTAACTAACCTGCTGGACGCTGCTTCTGGCTCCTTCTGACCCTGACTTCCCTTGATTTACACAGTGACATTGTGGCTCCTCAATCTGTAACTGTGAGCCTCGACATTTTGGTCTTAAAACGTCCGTATTATAATAAAATAATACAAAGTGCTACACAAGCATTAAACAAGAAACAAAAACAATCCGTGTTTCATGCGTTCATTCGTTTTTCAATATAAAACCAGAAATAAGAAAACGAAAAAACAACTGTTTTCTTCGTTATTTGTCTCCAAAACCAAAATGAAAAAACAGATAATGATTCATTTTTTCAGTTTTCGATTTTGTGTTTAAATGAAACATGGAAAAAAGGGAAAACGACCGTTTCCCGTTTACATGACTCCCGTGACTGCGATGTCGGACTTTTGCGCCGAATACGAACTGAACCAGGAATGATCCAGGACCCGGAACCAGAGCGGAACCAGACCGGGACCAGCGCTGACTCCGAGCTTTGACTCCAAGCTTCCACAGGGTTCGAGCCTCAGCTTCGAGCTCCGGACCTGCCGTGGGTCTGGTCCCAGTCTGGTCTCGATCTCAGTCCCACTCTGGTCCTGGTCAGGTCCTGGCCTGGTCTCGGTCTCAGTAATGGTCTCAGTCTCGGTCTGGTCCCGGGCTGGTCCCAGTCTCGGTCCTGGTCTGGTCCCAGTCTGGTCTCGGTCTGGTCCCAGTCTGGTCCCGGACCTGGATCAGTCCTGGTTCAGTCCGTATGCAGTGTAAAAGTCCGGCATCGCAGTCACGGAAGTCACGTAAACGGGAAACGGCCGTTATTGGTTTTCTCCATTTTTCATTTAAACACAAAATCAAAAACTGAAAAAAACGAATCACTATCCGTTTTTTTCATTTTGGTTTTGGAGACAAATAATGAAGAAAACAGTTGATTTTCCTTTTCTTATTTTTGGTTTTATGTTGAAAAATGAATGAATGACACACGGATTAAAAACAATTACCGTATTTTGGACTTTTTTTCACGGTTTGGGTCATTTCTGCGACCTATACTTCCTTATTTTTCTGAAAATAAAGCTGCTAATATCTTCGGAACCATAATTGCACAAACAAAACTTTTCGCAGCACAAACGACTGACACCACTTTGGGCGTTTTAGAGCATTTTTAATCTTCTTGAGGGCGGCTGACCTATAAAAGAATTATTAATATCTCCAAAACTTAAACAACACAAACAAAACTTTTTTACAACACAAACAGAGCACAAGAGGATGGCGTAGTTTTTGTGTAAGTTTGCGTTTGAGGAGGGTTCTTACCTTGACCAGTCCCGGGTACTCGTTGGAGGGAAGCCCGTAGATGTGCTCGTTGGCCTCCTCTCCCTCCGTCAGCAGGAAACACGGGAATCGATTCTTCACGTGGTACGATCCGGGGCTCTTCTCTTTCCAGTAACACACGTTTATCTTCACCACCTGCAAACACAGAGGTCAGAGGTCACACAGGAGGGACGTCACGGGATGTTACGTAAAGCAAAGTCAGCCCATTTTTGTGTGTTTTTGACTCACAGAGCTTCACAAAACAATTAAATAAAAGGAAATATCCAGATTAGGAACGTTTGTCTCATGTTTTCAGTTGAATAATTTAGTTGTTCATTTATAATCAGAAAACAGACAAGTGTTTTGAGCCCTTTTTGATTTGTTTCCATGGCAACCGGCCTAGATTTTCCTCATTCTGAAACCTATGCGCAGTTTATTTGTGTTTTATTTTACTTCTGCATTTACACACCAAATTACAGGTTAAATTAATTGTTCTGAATTAAATAGTTCGGGATTAAAATGTTCTCCTTCGAGTTTACATGGAAATAATAATTCTGAATTGAGGTTTACAAGAAAAACTCGTTAAATCGTCTTTATTTACTCAGCGTCTGGGGGTGGGGAAGGTTCTGATTGGACAGAGACACAAACGAATTTACGTCGACCGGAAGAAAACACAAACACTTCAGCTGCTACCGGCTTTTCTTTCATCTCGGTTTGTCGTTACTCCACGGACACAAACACGATCCAAACTTTTTTCCCGCGGTGGTTCCGATGATAATTGCGAAGCAGCAGCTGGAGAATTGTCTCTTCACGCTTTACGTCTGTCGGCTGAGGAGGAGAAGGGAAGAGCGTCGGAGAAGGAGGAAGAAGACAAAGTGAGTGTGAGGCTGCTCTACCTCAGCCCACTCCCACATCCCGCTCACAAATCCAAAGAGACGTGGAGGAAATTCCCAAGACACGACTGGTGGAGCCGGATCGAAGGACGACACAACGAGCACGAACTGAACGACCGGGATTATTTTTAAGAAGAATAAACGTTTACATGATCCAGGAATAAAGTTTAATTCTGAATAATCATTTTCAGTTATGGGGAAAACTAGTTGAGTGGCTTATAAGTTGTGTGACTGTCAGGGGGCATCAGTAAGAACGATGATCCAGGTCCGGGATCAGACCGGGACCAGACCAGACCGGGACCAGAGCGGGACCAGGACGGACTCCGAGCTTTGACTCAGCCTCCGCGGGGTCCGAGCCTCAGCTTCGAGCTCCGGCCCTGCCGTGGGCTCTGAGCCTCCGGTCTGATTCCGGTCTGGTCCTGGACCTGGATCAGTCCTGGTTCAGTCCCTACGCGGTGCAAAATTCTGGCATCGCAGTCACAGAAGTCACGTACACGGTAAACGTTTATCCGTTTTTTCCAGTCTTCATTTAAACACAAAATTGAAAACTGAAAAACGAATCGTTATCCGTTTTTTCATTTTGGTTTTGGAGACAAATAATGAAGAAAACTGTTGTTTTATCATTTTCTTATTTTTGGTTTTATATTGAAAAACAAATGAACAAATGATACACGGTTTTGCGACTACTGTAGATTTGCGAGGATTCACATGGTTAGGAGTAGGGATTCGCATGATTAGTCGATTAATCGATAATTGATCATTAAGAATTTCAGCGATTACGTTCATTTTAATCGACAAACTGAATGTAGGTTGCTGTGTGTAGCGTGACCAAACAGGTGTGTACATGTGTCTCTGCATCAGAAGGAGCGAGACACAAACAGTGGGTCAGTCTGCAACGTACCGAAGCACAAATGTGTATTTAACGATGATTTGTACAAGAAATTCCACACTTTCCGTTGCGTTCGGGACAAGTGTGAGTCCATGTGCACAGTGTATAAAGCAGCACATATGTTTCTGTGTCCAGTGGGAAAAAGTTTTACCAGGTGAGAGTCGCTCAATGTGGATGACGAGTCCCACCCTCCCTCCCCCGTACGCTGTCCTGGTTTTGACAACAAACGCAAATCTGGTCACACTAACCTGTATTCACCTGAATCATGTCTTTTAATCCGACAAAAGTTGAACCACATCAGCGACACAAGAGCTGTAGTTTTATCTTCACTTAGTTTATGCAAATTAGCGATGTGGTTTTAAGTTTCGTTTCTGTGAGAGTTGAACAAAACTGAATTAAACACATTATAATGTCAAACGGGCTGATGTGGCTCTAGAGTCGTTACGGTTTATATGTCGTAAAGTTGAATTTATTTATGCAGATTAGTAGTGCAGATAGTAATAATAATGATGATCATTTTAATATAAAAAACATTAATGATTAATCGATAATCGATCGTTAATTCTTCCGACGATCGATTAAGAAAATTTCATCGAATGCCCATCCCTAGTTCGGAGGGACGTAGTCAAAGCGGGGGGCAATTGTTGTCAAAGCGGCCAGCGATCACAGACGATTCCCCTTGTGAATATTAAAGAGCCGAGCCTCCGTGTCGCTGCACATGTAGTGGAGGAATGTGAACAAACACAAATTGTGCAAATTCACTCTTCCACAGTCCTGCACCGAACTGAACATCCTGTACTGAAATGGTTCGGCATGAATACATGAACCTTTACACTCTAAGCCAGGGGTGTCAAACTCATTTTGGTCCGGGGGCCATAACGAACCTACTTTGATCCCAAAGGGGCCGGATCAGAAAACTCATGTCATATAAACCCCAAAAATAACAATAAGTTCAAATATTTGTGCAGAGAAACACAAATCTATTACAGAAATCTTTTTTAATTGATGAACTCTTTCTTTTACAAAATATTATAATATTAAGAACAACCTGAAACTTTAAGAAAAATGCAATTTCAACGCAATGTTAACATGAAGTTGTATGTAAATTGGAATAAGTCAGTTTTTGTTGTAAAATCCTGCACTCGGCTCCACTTTTCTCATTTTTGACATTTTGCTGATGAGGGTGTCACGGTCAACAGTCAAAACGATCGTCCTTTAAGAGCGTTTGGAAAGAGACAAGTCTTCATTTGTGCTGCTCTATAGGGAGGGGCCACGTACAGAGACGCTGGAGACGCTGCTGTGATAAGAAAATTACCCATATTTTATGGGCCGTATGTTTGACACCTGTGCTCTAAGCGAACAACTACCATTAGAGTTAAACAGCAAAACTCCTGCGCTCTGATCTCTGAAAGTTGTGAAAATCGCTTATAAACTCATCAAGGTGAATAATTCGGACGCTCTGAATGCAGAAGATAAGCGTGAAATAATTTTAGGCCACTGCAAACGGTTTAAAATGAATTAATTCTGTATTTTTTTTTACATTTTTAAAGACAGTAAAAATCCGTCAGCGCCTTTAACCATAAACCAGGTCATTTGTAACTCCTGTACAGGTTGTGTTTTACAGTGAGTGGGCTGCAGAGCTGAGAGGAGAGGGGTGTGCTGACTAAGCTTGGAGCTGTTTAAAAATGAAAGAGTTTTTTTTTTTTTTTTTTTTTTATATTTATTTGAGCCGTGAACAAAACCGGCGCTGGCATATTCAGGTGGGCTCTCAGTCTTACCGATTTGATGTTTTATTCAGTGTTTGAGACGAAAGTACACCGCGTTTCCGCACTAATATTTGGGTCTCATGTTTTTTTGTTTAGCTGTTTTCGATGCTTAAATTTGCAGTTTGATGTCGGGCTGAACTACGGCGTGGATCAAGCAGAATAAAGAATCTACTGGACAGAAACAAAAACAGAACAGGATGTAGACGGGTTTTTAGTCACCAATCTTAAAAACATATTATGCTCGTGTCTGCTGTATATTTATAATCTCTGAAACCCAGGTCTAAACCAGGTCTAAACCAGGTCTAAACCAGGTCTAAAACAGGTCTAAACCAGGACTAAAACCAGGTCTAAACCAGGTCTAAACCAGGTCTAAACCAGGTCTAAACAGGACTAAACCAGGTCTAAACCAGGACTAAACCAGGTCTAAACCAGGTCTAAACCAGGTCTAAACCAGGTCTAAAGCAGGTCTAAACCAGGTCTAAAACCAGGTCTAAACCAGGACTAAACCAGGACTAAACCAGGCTAAACCAGGTCTAAACCAGGTCTAACAGGTCTAAAGGTCTAAACCAGGTCTAAACCAGGACTAAACCAGGTCTAAACCAGGTCTAAACCAGGACTAAACCAGTCTAAACCAGGACTAAACCAGGACTAAACCAGGACTAAACCAGGTCTAAAACCAGGACTAAAACCAGGACTAAACCAGGTCTAAACCAGGTCTAAACCAGGACTAAACCAGGTCTAAACCAGGTCTAAACCAGGACTAAACCAGGACTAAACCAGGTCTAAAACCAGGTCTAAACAGGACTAAACCAGGACTAAACCAGGACTAAACCAGGACTAAACCAGGTCTAAACCAGGTCTAAACCAGGACTAAAACCAGGACTAAACCAGGACTAAAACCAGGTCTAAACCAGGACTAAACCAGGACTAAACCAGGACTAAAACCAGGACTAAACCAGGCCTAAACCAGGTCTAAACCAGGTCTAAACCAGGTCTAAACCAGGACTAAACCAGGTCTAAACCAGGTCTAAACCAGGTCTAAACCAGGACTAAACCAGGTCTAAAACCAGGACTAAAACCAGGTCTAAAACCAGGTCTAAACCAGGTCTAAACCAGGACTAAACCAGGACTAAACCAGGACTAAACCAGGACTAAAACCAGGACTAAACCAGGTCTAAACCAGGTCTAAAACCAGGTCTAAACCAGGACTAAAACAGGACTAAAACCAGGACTAAACCAGACTAAAACCAGGTTAAAACCAGGTCTAAACCAGGACTAAACCCAGGACTAAAACCAGGACTAAACCAGGACTAAACCAGGACTAAAACAGGACTAAAACCAGGACTAAAACCAGGTTTAAACCAGGTCTAAACCAGGACTAAACCAAGACTAAACCAGGATTAAAACCAGGTTTAAACCAGGATTAAAACCAGGTTTAAACCAGGTCTAAAACAGGACTAAACCAGGACTAAAACAGGACTAAACCAGGATTTAACAGGACTAAATCATGCTCCTCATCTTCTATCAATAATATTTTTAATACGGTTCAGTAAAGTCTAGGCTTTTTATTTTCTTTTATCAGACAAAACATCTTATGTTACGATTGTT